ACATGATGGGAAAGGTATTAGGTTTACTGCTAATGAGGACATTCAGCCGGAAAAGGGTATGTTATATCTTGTGCAGACATGAACCTAATGTGGGCTAACACTGATCCCTGTGAGCTGGAACGAGCTGCTTATGCTAGGGGTGGGAGAACCAGGTGTCCAAGGTCAGAAGCTCTATCCCAAGTCTTAGAGATACCTGGTGTATAAACACAGCCCAGGAAGGGGTTCTATTCTTGATCCCTGTCTGTCCTTGGAATTCCTCTACCCTTCCATACCTCAGGACCAGGAAGGATTTTATCTGGGGGTACAGGGCAATGTTTACCCAAAATAGAGTGAGGCCTTTGTTGAGGAGAGCTTGCAGTTTGGGTCTTTTCAGATTGAGCCTGGGGAGTTGTTCTGTGGAGGGGTGAAGTCTTCCTGAGTAGGCAGCCTCCCAAGCAGAAGCCTCCAGGAATCCTGGGGATAGGTGGGAGGTTGCCACTTTTGGCTAGAAGGGAACCCACATTGTTCGGTTAAGAGAAACCCTCGGGTACACCTAGCTCCCAGACACAGATTCAGGGTGACAGTACTGTTCTTCCCTGATACCTTTCAAGGAAAAATTCTTCGGCCTAGGAGATAGGAGAGGCTTGGGAGAAACACTGTGAGATTCCCAGTGCATTTTTCAAAGAAGTTTTGCCTAAGATGCTGTCCATTCAACTTATGTTATAGTACTCAGCCTCATTCTTTATCCCCTTTCTCCTCCTCCTCCTATTGCTTACTTCCCTATGGCTACTGAGGGCGACTGCTTCTTGCTCTAGGGTGTGGGGTCAGTTTTACCTGGAATAATGAGTCCCAAAGTCCTAAAGTTCTTCAGTAGGACATCATCTGTCCATCTGCTTTTCAGGGTCTGGTGTGGATGATCCTGTGGGAGAAGTCTCTATTCAGGTGGACTTGTTTACACACCCTGGTACTGGGGAGCACAAGGTCACAGTGAAAGGTGAGTGGTGTGGATGGGCAGGTCTGACCTTTTCTGGCCTCATGGCCATACCCATCAGTCAAAGGAAGGTGTTGCTCACGCCAGCTCTGCAGTTCAGCCCTCCTCCAAGGGGAATGTCATATGGGGGCTCAAGAATTGGGAATGCCTGGTGGGATCCTTCATAGGTTTCCCTTGTTTGGGCAGTGGTGGCTGCCAATGACCTCAAGTGGCAGACAGCGGGTATGTTCCGACCTTTTGTGGAAGTGACCATGGTTGGACCACATCAAAGTGATAAGAAGAGGAAGTTCACAACCAAGTCCAAAAGCAACAACTGGGCCCCCAAGTACAATGAAACATTCCACTTGTAAGTTATGGAGTGGGGAGACCTACTCTGGGATGGGAGGGACTGAAGGAGGAAGGTGGGAGAGGAGGGGTGGGCTGGATGGCAGGCTGGGGTGAAATCAGCTGAAGATGCTTAGCTCTGGCCTTCCTTCCTTCTACTCTGTGCATGCAGCCTCCTGGGAAATGAAGAGGGACCAGAGGCCTATGAATTGCAGATGTGCGTGAAGGATTACTGCTTTGCCCGGGAGGATCGTGTGCTAGGGCTGGCTGTGATGCCTCTGAGGGATGTGGCAGCCAAGGGCAGCTGTGCCTGCTGGTGCCCCTTAGGCCGGAAGATCCACATGGATGAGACGGGCATGACCATTCTCCGGATTCTGTCTCAGAGGAGCAATGACGAGGTGGCCCGAGAGTTTGTGAAACTTAAATCAGAGTCTCGTTCCACGGAGGAGGGAAGCTGAGTATTTTTTGCTCCTGTGTCAACCAGGCGGCACCAGTTCCACAAGTCAGGGCCAGTGGGAGTTAGCTATATAGCCAGCTTAGGATCTTCATAGTCAAGAAGCTGATCCCTTTATTTAAGATATGTAAGGAAAAATATGGGGTGGTAGGAGTATGGCTTTTTCACAGAAAGAGTCATGAATCCCTGAGCAGCAGTTCTTCGGTGCTAGGTGATAAGCTGTGGGGGTAACTGCATGGAAAGATTTTCCATAGAGAGAGACAGACATTTCTGAGAGTGTCAGCCATTCTTGGTAGACACCACTCCATATTTCATCTCTGTCCTCCATACCACATCTTACTCAGACATGTACATGCCAATTGTTAGGAGAACAAGTTTAGAGGGCCTGGAGCTGTGCCCAGCTGGCTTGAGACTCAGCTGAGCTTACAGGTGTTACTGAGCCCTGTGGTCTGGATTGGAGTATGGCCAGGGCAGAAGCACACAGAACAGAATTCAGACTGTCCCTTGAGCAGAATCCCTGCCACAGATAGGACAGGATTAGGCTGGGAAGTGCACACACTGACCTTTCATCTAGGTTCTATTCAAAGAGAAGGAGCTGCAGTAGAAAGACTACTCCCAAAAGGGGGTAATTTGTGTGGTTTTTTGTGGTTCCATTGAGAACATGGCTTTGAAACTGAACAAGATACCTTCTAGAAATGAACTGTGCTAATCTCTTCACCAAAATTATACCTGCTATGAGTAGAATGAGGTTCACATGGTGCTTCAAAGTCCTGAGCAGAATATTTATTTGAAATTCAGGCACCAGGGGCCACCTGTCTGGGAGCCCCCCACCTCACTCCTATAGGTGGAGTGATGTTTCAGAACACAAGAGCTGTTGTTACATGTATGTGCTTGAGGGCTATTTGAAGGATCTAGGAGTATTTTCTTCTTGGGTAGGCCCTGAACAATGCCAAAAATTGTGGAAACCAGACTAGAAAGAGTCCTCCTCCCTTTCAGTCACTGCCTTCTAGGTGTCCTCCACCTTGCAGAAAGATCCAGCCTTTGGCCTCT